ACACATTCTTTACATTTAAAGTTATATCATTTATTTCTTTATAGAAATGTTTGTATTTTCTATATTCATTTATTCAATAATTAGATCTCATCTATTTAAAGCCTGGTATGTATATATTTATTTTAATTGTAATTGTGAAACGTTTATAATGTATATATTGTAATTATTGTAATTGTGAAAAATGCAATTCATGAAAAAGAATTTTCTATTGTATAATATTTCTCTTTGTTATTTGTATTATAAACTTTTTATTTTGTTATAGGTTTATTCTATACCTGAATAAATTAAGTAAACATCACACACTGTTGTTTTACTGAAGAAACCCCACCACTACACTTACAAGAGTGTATTATATCATTTACATATTCAATACATGCCTTGCAGATATTACATAGGCTTTGAAGATTTTAGATGCCCGGTGTAGAACGGAAAGTTATGTAAGCATTTATTGAAATATGTGCTAAACACTTTTGAATGTCCATCAAAGATGTTGGAGAAAGCCAGATGCAAGATAAAAGACTACAAATGACATTATAGCAGATATTATCGATTAAGGGATGTCACCAATGCAATTCCCGGATGATACTTTGAGGCCCTTAGCCTCAGCGCGGCGTATTTTTTAAACCAGCAAGGTTACCTTTTATAATGTGACTGTGTTCAGTAAGACGATTGTGATAACGTTAGTACACATAAAATGCAGTTATCCTTAAATGTCGTAAAATACAACCCTAATTATATTTTATATGAAATTATAAAAATGATATCAAATTGCTTTACTAAATATAAAGCAATGTTACCTGTCTCCCAAATCACTTTAAATATTTTGATAATAATTTTGAATTAAAAAAGCACTGTATTTGTTGTATCTTGTATTAAACGTGAGAACTATTATTTTCATCCCTTACGTACGTTTTTTGGTGTTTTTTGTGCAAAATGAAACACGAGATGAAATCTACTGTACAAGATTGAACCATGGTATGTTCCCTTTGGCGACATTGATGACGTAAATATGCGAAGATAAAGATGTATCGAAAGCAAAGAATATATAGAGCTTTATTTATCAATGATGTAATAAACAAATTAAAGGTACCTTCTTAGTTTTAAAAATGAACATAATTTTGATTTGAAGTGGGGTTTGTGGTACTATTCCCTACCATGTGACACATGCCGTACAATTACAAACACGTGTAAAGTAGCATTTTATTAACAATTTAACCAAGCATAATATTTTCTGCTTCATTGGTCTATTCACCCTTTACTTTAGAAAAAAAGTTTTAAGCAACCTTATTGCAGGGAAGTAAGATTTCATGGGACTAAGTTTCATTTTCTTTAAAGCCACCTCCTTCCTGTTTAGTAGTATAGTTGACACCAATACGAATTGTACAATCATGCCTAGCATAATGGTTTATTTCTTTAAAAAAAAGAATTAACAATAAATACTTTCATTATTTCCCAATAAGATTTTCGCGGTATTTTTTTCAGCCGGTGAAATAGCTGGACCCTTCTAAACAGTGGTTTGGTTTCAACGACATTTTTGGATATTTCGTATCGAAATTGCATCCAAAATTATGAGACTCCCTTTATCGAAAAACATGCAAATTCTTAGAGTTTTCAGCTTTAAAGTCATAGTGACCATGACCTTGTGACCCCAAAGTCAATAGGGGTCTTCTACCTAATATGGACAATCATCCTATGAAGTTTGAACACTGTGGGCCAAATGGAACTGAAGTTATGCTCCGGAAACTGTTTTCAGTTTTAAGGTAATAGTGGCCTTGACCTTTGACCTTGTGACTCCAAAATCAATAGGGGTCTTGTACCCAATATGGACAATCATACTATGAAGGTTGAACACTGTGGGCCAAATTGAACTTAAGTTATTCTTCGGAAACTGTTGTCAGTTTTATGGTAATAGTGACCTTTGACCTCAAAATCAATAGGGGTCTTCTACCCAATATGGACAATCATCCTATGAAGTTTGAATAGTGTGAGCCAAATGGAACTTAAGTTATGCTCCGGAAACCAAATTGCTAACGGACGGACAGACGGACGGACGGACGTCAGGGGGTATAACATAATATGCCCGAAATTCTTTCGGGCATATAAACAAGAGGGCCATGATGGCCCTGGATCGCTCACCTGACACAACCGCATCCAAGCAATGTCTTAAACAAGCATCATGGCCAAGTTATATGACAACTGAGTCAAACATGTGACCTCTAGTGTGTTATAAAGATTTTTCCATATTTGGGCAATGTGACCTAATTTTTGACTGGACACGACCCATATTCAAACTTGACCTAGAAATCATCAAAACAACCTTCCTGACCAATTTCCAGGAAATTTGGATCAAAACTGCAGCCACTAGAGTGTTAAAAAGATTTTTCTATTTTTAGCTCCTGTGACCTTGTTTTTGACCGGACATGACCAATCTAAGCACTTAACCCAGAAATCATCAAAACAACCTTCCTGACAAATTTCCAGAATATTTGAATCAAAACTGCAGCCACTAGAGTGTTTACAAGCTTTTTCTATTTTTAGCTCCTGTGACCTAGTTTTTGACCGGAGGTAACCTATCTTCAAACTTTACATAGAAACTATCAAAACAACCTTCCTGACAAATTTCCAGAATATTTGGATGAAAACTGCAGCCCCTAATGAGTTAAAAAGCTTTTCTATTTTTTGCTCCTGTGACCTAGTTTTTGACCGGAGGTGACCCATCTTCAAACTTGACCCAGAAATCATCAAAACAACCTTCCTGACAAATTTCCAGAATATTTGAATCAATACTGCAGCCACTAGAGTGTTTACAAGCTTTTTCTATTTTTAGCTCCTGTGACCTAGTTTTTGACCGGAGGTAACCTATCTTCAAACTTTACATAGAAACTATCAAAACAACCTTCCTGACAAATTTCCAGAATATTTGGATGAAAACTGCAGCCCCTAATGAGTTAACAAGCTTTTCTATTTTTTGCTCCTGTGACCTAGTTTTTGACCGGAGGTGACCCATCTTCAAACTTGACCCAGAAATCATCAAAACAACCTTCCTGACAAATTTCCAGAATATTTGAATCAATACTGCAGCCACTAGAGTGTTTACAAGCTTTTTCTATTTTTAGCTCCTGTGACCTAGTTTTGACCGGAGGGTAACCTATCTTCAAACTTTTACATAGAAACTATCAAAACAACCTTCCTGACAAATTTCCAGAATATTTGGATGAAAACTGCAGCCCCTAATGAGTTAACAAGCTTTTCTATTTTTTGCTCCTGTGACCTATTTTTTGACCGGACATGACCCATCTTCAAACTTGACTTAGATATCATCAAAACAACCTTCTTGACAAATTTCCAGAATATTAAGATAAAAACTACAGCCACTAGAGTGTTAACAAGCTTTTTCTATTTTTAGCTCCTGGACCTAGTTTTTGACCTGAGATGACCAATCTTCGAACTTGACCTAGAAATCATCAAAACAACCTTCCTGGCAAATTTCCAGAATGTTTGGATGAAAACTGCAACCATTAGAGTGTTAACAAGCTTTTTCTATTTTTAGCTCCTGTGACCTAATTTTTGACCGGAGATGACCCATCTTCGAACTTGAACTAGAAATCATCAAAAACAACCTTCCTGACAAATTTCCAGAATATTTGAATCAAAACTGCAGCCACTAGAGTGTTAACAAGCTTTTTCCATTTTTAGCTCCTGTGACCTAGTTTTTGAACGGAGATAACCCATCTTCGAACTTGACCTAGAAATCAACAAAACAACCTTCCTGACAAATTTCCAAAATATTTGGATGAAAACTGCAGCTCCTAGAGTGTTAACAAGCTTTTTCTATTTTTAGCTCCTGTGACCTAGTTTTTGACCGGAAATGACCCATCTTCGAACTTGGACTAGATATCATCAAAATTACATTCTTGACAAATTTCCAGAATATCTAGATGAAAACTGCAGCCACTAGAGTGTTAACAAGCTTTCTCTTTTTTAGCTCCTGTGACCTAGTTTTTGACCTGAGATGACCCATCTTGGAACTTGATCTAGATATCATCAAAACAACCTTCCTGACAAATTTCTAGAATATTTGGATGAAAACTGCAGCCCCTAATGAGTTAACAAGCTTTTCTATTTTTTGCTCCTGTGACCTAGTTTTTGACCGGACATGACCCATCTTCAAACTTGACTTAGATATCATCAAAACAACCTTCTTGACAAATTTCCAGAATATTAAGATAAAAACTACAGCCACTAGAGTGTTAACAAGCTTTTTCTATTTTTAGCTCCTGGACCTAGTTTTTGACCTGAGATGACCAATCTTCGAACTTGACCTAGAAATCATCAAAACAACCTTCCTGGCAAATTTCCAGAATGTTTGGATGAAAACTGCAACCATTAGAGTGTTAACAAGCTTTTTCTATTTTTAGCTCCTGTGACCTAATTTTTGACCGGAGATGACCCATCTTCGAACTTGAACTAGAAATCATCAAAACAACCTTCCTGACAAATTTCCAGAATATTTGAATAAAAACTGCAGCCACTAGAGTGTTAACAAGCTTTTTCCATTTTTAGCTCCTGTGACCTAGTTTTTGAACGGAGATAACCCATCTTCGAACTTGACCTAGAAATCAACAAAACAACCTTCCTGACAAATTTCCAAAATATTTGGATGAAAACTGCAGCTCCTAGAGCGTTAACAGGCTTTTTCTATTTTTAGCTCCTGTGACCTAGTTTTTGACCAGAGATAATCCATCTTCGAACTCGATCTGTATTTCATTGAGACAAACATTCTGACAAAGTTTGATGATGATCCAATCAAAACTGTGACTGATAGACTGTTAACAACCCAATTGTTGACGATGCACGACGACGGACGCCGGACATAGCCCCATCACTATACCTCACCTTGACCACTTCGTGGTCAGGTGAGCTAAAAATCGACATCAAAGTTAAATCATTATTGAGGCATGTAGGGCCTTTAAAAGTAATTATTTGACAAAAAGTAATGAATTTGTTCAGACGTGTCGAGTGAAATCTTTGGATGATTGCAAAAAGATATAATTTAAACTGTTAAATTTTGAATAAACAAGTAGATAGCAACTAAAACTGGATAACTTGACAAGGTAAGTAATATTTGTATAATGTTAAATGTTCAGAGCAGAAATACTCTGATATATCTTATTTACTTACTGATTATGTAAGTACTATCAAATTTTATATTTAGCAACAAATGACAGCTTAATAGCTGGAAATGTCCTTGTTTAATTTTATTAGAGAAACAAAGAGTTTTAAAGACATATATACTGTCTTGGGGGAAATATTGGAAACATTTGAAAACATTTGTTTAAAGTAAATGTTTAAACATTTTTAAAATTTTATTATGCTATTCGAGGGCTTTGGAGTCGACTGGTCCATAACGCTTTTGTAAAATTTTAGATTGATGACACCATATTCTACATTATAATGGGCAAAAATGTTTTAAGTTTCCTCTTTTAAATTGAACTCTGATCGGGTGTTTTCTTATACTTTAGACAATATACGAAGAGGCACCTGAAATCTCCACCGCACAGCTTTCCAGAAAAAGGTCGCTATCGTTTTTTAGTCTCGTAAAACGCAATTTGCACGAATGCATTTTCAGTCCAATTTATCTCTTAAAAGTAACTACATAAGATATTGTATTTTAGGTTTATAACTGTTAGTTATGAGTATATACGAAGATTATAACAAAGCGTCTCGTCTCTATGACAACCAGAGAGTTGCTGTCGGTGCCGATGTTATGGCTGCTATGCTACAGTTTTACAGCGGTAAACCGTTAGAGGTAAATATAATTAACACACACACAAAACTGTACAGTTAATGGTAAATGTGAAACGAAAATAATTAAGCAAAATAATTTATAGGTTATTTGCCCATTAGAAATGCTTTTTAAATATGATAGCGAACAAATACACAAACTTTAAAGTATAAATCTGTGATACTTTTCGAGAATGTACGATAACAGAAGGATAGTCAGGGAATGACTGGTTTTCATGTTGAACCTGAGTGAGGCGGGTTAGGTGATAGAACTATACCCTCATTTCCAAAGATATAGAGTCAGAGCCTCACCGCCTAACTTTTATAATTATAATATTCTCAGTTAGATATAACTACCAAGTAATTGGTACAAACAATCAGAGAAATATATCTTATTTGAATAATGTTTATGGTGACAACAGACACTTTCCGTGACACTACCATAAATGTCATTTAAACCGCATTATTTTGGTAACAATTGTTATTTATTAAATCTGATGCATTAAATGTCTTTGGTCTTCATAAAAAAATAACATTTTTGAAAAAATGCCTTTGTAAATAATATTTTTTGAACAAAATCTTATCATTTAAAATCGCCCTATCAAAGTCATTTTTTATTTTTTGCTCATCAAACTCTTGGAATATAAACATAATCATAATGTCTAGGGAACCGTGTCTCAGATTATCTCTATCTTTTCTCAAAATATATGACGTAACATCAAACATTTTATGCGATTTTTTCACAATACATATTGCTTAATTAAAGATAAATAAGTCACTGATCGATCTAACAAAAATCCCTGACACGGTTCCCTTTGTAAATGAATTCCCTTTCATGTGCTTTAAACCGAGTGTAAATTGCTTGATTATTAAAAGAGTTATGCCGATTCAAAGTTAGTCCGACCCTTATCGGTTGTTGTCTCTCAATTATTGCATAACACGCAAATATCGCACCAAAGGGGGTCACAAGATGCGGTAACATACACTAACAACGTTTTATGACCCAGTGACATCTGACCAGTTAAAAAATCTGCTGATTAATATCATTTTATACCAATCTTAACGTGATATACTGCCCGTCTGGTATCTGTCTCAGATGTCACGTGACTATTGGTAAAATTTGAGGCACTCTGTGGGGGTGAAGGGAACGCATTTAACGTGTGTACCAATAGAGGGATAATTTATTTGTTTCACTTTTAAAGTTTATTATAATCATCATCATTACTATACGAGGGTTGTTCGGAAAGTTTTGAGACAATATGATTTTCTCTGTTTCTAATTACAGCTGCGAATATTATTTAATACAAATTATAGCTTAATATGTTATTTATCCGAGTTATGTCTTTAAAACGTTGTAACGTTACTATACGGCATATAATCGTTTCCATAGCAACACCTGTCTACGCATCCTGGCGCACGGACTATTTTCTTGTTATAAGTTTTCTTACTGAATAAAAAGAGCCCCTAAAATTGCGCCAAACGTCACGAAAATTTTATGACGTCACTTCCAACTTAAGGACGTCATTTCCGTTAGTTGTTTAAGCCGTTACCGCAGATCATTATAGCAATACGTGCGCGACAAGACAACGACTATGGAAACACCGTCAAAAGAGGAACAGCGTGTTTTTATTAAGTTTTGCGTTAATCTTGGGAAAACGCCAACAGAAACTAAGCAACTTCTAGAACAGGCAAACAACGGACGTACTGTTAGTCGACCATTGGTATTTAGATGGCATAAAGAGTTTCGGGATGGCAGAAAGTCAACAAAAGACAAGGAAATGAGCGGTCGCCCATCCGTCATCGACGATAAACTGACACTTGCAAGAAACGCGCTTCAGTGCGACCGTCGCATAACAGTAAGAGAAATTGCAGAAGTTTGTGATGTAGGTACGGCAACTGCTCACAAAATGTTAACTGAGACACTTGCAATGTCTCGGGTTTCGGCCCGTAGGGTACCGAGATTATTGACGGCTGATCAGGAAGAAAACCGAGTAAAAGCATCTCGACAGTTTCTACGTTCATACCAGAGAGAAGGCGACGCGTTCTTAGACAGAATTATTACCACCGACGAGTCCTGGTTTTAATATTACGACCCAGAAACAAAGTCGCAGTCTTCAGTTTGGAAGCACACGTCGTCTCAACCCCCGAAGAAAGCACGTGTAACCACATCCGTTGGGAAACATATGTTTATTCTATTCATGGACCGGAAGGGGATGCTGTTAACACATGCTGTACCGAAGGGAGAGACGGTGAACGCTGACTTTTACTGCAGGGTGAGTAATTATGTTTACTTTATTTAACATGAAAATAATTAAAAGTAAATATATAAATAATATAGATAATTAAATTGATTACTTACTTAATTATTAAAATAATTATTTGAAATTAATTCACCTGTATCTGTATTAAGTACGAGCTCCGATATTTCTGTTTTAGGCAATCAGACGGGAACTGATCAACGCTATCCGTAAGAAGCGGCCGGAAATGCTTGCGAATCTGGAGAACATCTACCTACATCAAGACAATGCGCATACAGCATCTGCCACTTCTCTGGAACTTGATGTTCTCGGGTTTAACCGCATCGCTCACCCACCCTACTCACCCGACCTGGCCCCAATGGACTTTTCCGTTTTTTCCGGCCATCAAATCCGAACTACGAGGAATCCGGTTTGAGGACCTAGTTGAACTGCGCTCTAGAGTTTTGAGCATTATTGCAACATTTAAATCTGACTCGTATTATATCAGTTTTACCCTGCTTGTGTATTCATTTATGAAATTCCGTTAAATATAATTAATTAATTAATTAATTAATTAATTAAATTAACGAAAAACTGAGCTAAAGTCCGAGGTACGATGTACAAATAAGAACGGGATATTATATATTTTTGTCCGACGAATTCATGTAAAATGCCTGCCATATTTCAATAGAAATAAAAGGTATCACTCGATCAGTATGATCTGCCCTTTATTTTTATTATCATGAATATGCATCAATGCACGGCATAGATCTCGATTCAGTTTCTTCTGGGACATAAAATAAATTTCATACTTTGTCTCAAGTTCATTAGTACTGTGTGTTGGATTTACTGACAAACATTACATTCAAACATTCACTAAAAATATATTTCCATATCTGTCCGATTTTTTCTATTGATTCATAAAAAATAAAATCCGCAGATTATCATAAAATATTTTAGAAATTTGTCATCACCAGTTATATCTTTAGGCGTTTACATAAACAATGTTGTCTGTTTCTTTTTATATTGCAAGAAAACGAGATTGAATATACAGCATGCTATTGGATCCGTACAATTGTCCATAAACTCAATGCAATGTGACACATTATTGATATAATAGGCAGTCATTCCCAAGGTCGTGCGATTTGCCGCTATTCTAAATTATTTATGTTACATCTTGGCAGACTATTTCTTATTTATAAAAAGGCTAAATAAAAGGTAGACTATAAATGTAAAAGATGTACAATATTTGTACGATACATGTATTACTGTAGTACGGACCGGTAATTCACCGATATATGGAACTACCGATTTCCCTCATTGATGCCTCGACAGGGGCGGAGCGTTATCAATAATTGACAGGTTACGCGAATAACAGATAAAAATGGTAAAGGTACCGTTTTAAAACGTTTCAAAAAACATATTTTTTGGGACTAACTGCTTCCAAAATTAAATCACGTATGTGTTCAGAAAAGGTTGATAAATCTACTAAGCAAAACATCTCATTTTATGTATTTTCAGTGGTAATTGACTCCGTTGTCACCTTAAAGATCATTGATATTGTTACTGTGTGTATACCACACTTACAAAAAATTATATATGTATATAATTATGCAAATAAAACAATTTAATTTTCAAACATCAAAGAATATGTAAAATGTGTACTGCAAATATTTGTTCACATTATATTTGATCAATAAATTATATGCATTCACATCTTTTTGGAAAATTTGACTTAGAATTTATAGAATATATTTTTTTTATTACCTCCCTTTATTTACATGAAATATTAAATTCGGTAATATCTTTATAAATACTGCTAACTGGAACTTACAATATTGACAAATCTTATTTTGAGCATCATATTTATGAAACAAACCTGAAAAAATGTGTTACAGGATCTGTAATCACCCTTAGGATATTCTGCCTGGTTTTATTTAAATTTGTCTTTTGACAGCTTATCTGTGATATGCAGGCTTCATAACCTCAGATCCTCTTTCAAAATTCCATCTTATTTAGTTCCGCCCATAGTTCTCTCGTTTAGGGCACATGCATTTTCTTTGGGATCATACGCCGCTTTTCCTGGAATTGCACTTACGTGTCACACTGATGGTTCCATGATAACCGCCGCATGAATACCTCTGTGAATATTAAATGTTGAATTCTGCTTAAGCCAGTGCAAAGGGGGGGGGGGGGTTGGCGGTAGCTTACACTATTTAGCACCGACCATCAACAGAGTCAATCAAACCGTGTATTGTCGTTTGGGCTTTCAATGGGGATTATATTTCACTTTACCTTTACTCAACACTATTTTTAGGTAAATTTATCCCTTTTTTATATCTCAAATCCGTGTAAACATCAAAACAACGAAGTTCTGTGATCATTATTTACATCTTAAACAAATATTGATACAAATATCTTTCACGTATACAGTAAACTTCACTTATAGCGAACACGGTTATAGCGAACTTCCGGTTATGGGAAACAATTTATTCTGGCCCGAATTTTGCCCTTCTTTATTTAATATTTAAAAAATATGGTTATAGCGAACACGGTTATAAGGAACTATCGCTTATAAGGAACTCATTACTTAGCCCCAATCTAGTTAAAAGTACAGAAAATTACACTTTTATAACGAACTCCAAAATATTGGATATCCGTAAATAGACTTTCGTTTTCATTGGAACGGATTGAAGCTCGGTATCGTTGTATGTACTTCTATACATCTATTAAAATGAATTTGTATAGTTTTCTATGTAGGATATTTTTAGCATGAGCTCTTTTCACC